TGGAACTAGAGAGGGTTAAAAGGGTCTAACTAGGAAAATGGATTAACGGTGTTATTGATAATAATAATTATTGGTGTTAATAATTAATTGTTTTAATGTGTTAAGTTTGACAACATTAATCACTGTTTATGATATAATCATGATATTGTTTTTAAAACAAAACCATTTTTAAAGCTATACAAACCATATTCTCAATGTCATTTTAAATAGCAGTGCTGTGTAGTTTAACACAAATGTACAATATATACTGTAAAATAATCACTAAAAATTGAAAATAAAAAACAAACCCTTTATATTGATTCTCACTGTGTGTATAACTGTCATAAAAGTCTTTTTTGCAGTCAGGGGTGAAGAACTTCCTAGAGAGCACTGCAATCATTTCTGAAAGCAGTGAAAACTGCTTAATGTGGAAGTCTGTGCTTTATAATTAGGGTTTATCAAATGCTACCAGAGTGCTATTTTCTTCTAGCGCCCTAATGGTTCTGTTAAATCAGCATCAAGCTTGTGGTTTAATGCTACACACAGACAGCAGCTTTTAACAGACGTTCAGTTGTTCTCTCAGACTACTTCACATGTTTCAAACTCACTTTTGTTCAGTGCAGCGTGAGGCAGCTGTCGTCATCAGGGGGTGGTTACATTGGTTGGCTAATTTGCATAATGTGACGTAGGTTTGTACTACAGTACTGATCCACGTCCTGCAGAGCCAGAGTGCGACTTTTTTCAGACTGGGAGGTACAAGATCCAGCCCACCTTAAACTCTGACTGTATTTTTCCGGTTACACACACACATACACACCCACCTACATGTATATACGCAGCATTTCCTGTGTGTGTGTGTGTGTGTGTGTGTGTGTGTGTGTGTGTGTGTGTGTGTGTGTGTGTGTGTGTGTTTTGCCTTTTTTGCAAAACAACTTTTTCTAAAATCTGCACATTTTCATCAACGCTTATTTATTATTTATATGCTACGCTGAGATGGGTAGCTACTAAGGAAATGCAAAGTGGCGAAAGCTTCTCTCTCAAATGTGACAATCATGACTGTCAATATGCTACAAACCCACACTAGCTAAGTAAGTTAAGCCCAGCATTTTTCACGGCCCATCTGCTTGGATACGTCCTCACCTTAGTTTTCTGCAGTTGTTGCTGCTGCCATCTTCACACGATTCACATATGAAAATTGCTACATCAGTAATGCCAGAAAATGCATGAACTCCGTACAGCTGTTTGTTGTGTCAGACGGTATCAGATTTACATCATCTTGCTAAATACGATATATGATAGCCCAGGGGTCGGCAACCCAAATGTTAAGAAGAGCCATTTTGTCCTTTCAAAAAAAATCAAACCACCTTTTACAACATTTTATTTCCGTTTTACCATCTTGACTGTAAATATGTCTCAGTACGTGCTAATGTACTAGTATAGACTAAAAATATAAACAAAAACACAGACTTACTTTGCTCTGCTTTAAGCTTTAGCTCAGCTGTAGCTGCTTTTCTCGCATCTCCGGCAGGAAACTTTTCCGCAAAAGTAGGATATTTTCTTGTAAAAAGTCTCTTTACATTCGATTTTTTTACATGGCTAAAGTCAGCTTCTCATTCGCCAGCTTGTTCGAATTTTCCCATTCCGCCTTAAATGGTGCCTGAGGCGCTAGAATGTAACTACAGCACCACTAAAGGTGGAATAGGACAATTTGAACGAGAAGCTGGCGAATGAGAAGCGACTTCAGCTTCATGACTTGACAGTTTTTGTTGCAGATTAAACGTATCAGGAAACCAGCTGGAGTGATTATAAATGCAAATAAGTCCGTTCATCTTCAAATTATCAATATTCATTTTAAATCTTTCTCTTTGCCTTTCTGTTTGCTACTAGCTAGGCAAGGTTGTTGTCTGTGTTGCTATGGTGACCAGCAGTCTGCACTGATCTTCAGGGTTAAAGGGTGAATCAGCAGTTCTACATTAACTTCAGCGTTTAAGACCATTTATTGTTAAACTGTGTTGAACGATCAGCAGAGCCTTATTTTACTGCAGAGGAGGATTATTTTATTTTATTTTTATCTAAAAACCTAATTCTGTTGTGGAGCTGTGACAGGGCAGTAAAAGAGCCGCATGTTCCTGACCTGTGATAGGCTGATGTTTGCTTTCTGTTCCACCTTAAATAGTGCCACAGTTAAACACACTCTTAAAGACGTTTGAATGTAGGTACTACATGATTTAAGGTGGAACAGAAAATGAGAATAACAAGCTAACTTGGTTTAACCCCTAAATTACTACAGATATACACTTAGATGTAGTATTTATTCATTAGCTCCCAGTAACGGGGCCAAAATGCTACCAGCCCACCACGAATTCTCCCGATTACCCACACTGGCATTTAATACTGCAGTATAACTAATTACCAGCACAGGTGTGTGTGGGTGTGCAAGGGTGCTTATGAAAGCAGGTAAGAAGACAAAAGTGCTGCACCATCAAGATGATGCAGGATGATTACAGGGCTTTGAGTGTGAAGGCAGAGGACAGTAAACAATCAGCCTTCACCTTCAGCCAGAGACGAGCACGCATCCCCCACAATCAGCACTGCACTATAGCAGACAACAGCAGACTAATGTGAGTCTAGAGCAGCCTGAGAACAGCCTGACCACAGCCTATAGCAGACTGATATCATCCTCAGTTCAGCCTCCAAGTCTCCAAGCCAAACAGAGCCATTAGCAATGAAAGCATGCCAGTTATCTCAAGACAGCTCCAAGGCCCACAGCGGAACGGGAGAACCATCCATCTCTGTACGGCAAAACACAAACGATCGTCTGTGTCAAAGGGCAGCACAAAAGCTCCCTGACGGCGTATTCCAGCAGCTGAAATGAACCATGAAGAGAATGTAATAGCAATAAAGGAAAACAAGCTTTTAGTTATGCTGCACCGTCCGAATGGAATTTGTTACAGAAACACTAAAAACTTCAGGAACTTGTTTCATTATATTGCTTTAAAAACATTCTTCTAACAGTGGAAGTGGGTAAAACTGTCTGTCAGCGTTTTAAATGATTTATGTGGGTTGATGTTTAATGATTTTTCTGTTTTATATTTGTGATGTGTAATTGTTTCTGTGGGAACAAAAGGGTCCAACTAGGAAAACGCATTAATGGTGTTATTGATAACAATTGTTGGTGGTGTTAATAATTTATTGTTTTAATGTGTTAAGTTTGACACCACTAATCACTGTTTATGATATAATCATGTTATTGTTTTTAAAACAAATAAAGTAAACGATATTCTCAATGCCATTGTAACTAGTACTGTGTAGGTTATTGTGATGTACAATATGTACAATAAAATAATCACTAAAAATGAAAAGTAAATAAACAAGCCCTTCACATTTTGATTCTCACTGTGTGTGTAATTGTCATAAAGGTAAAATAGACCTTGTACACTAATAATAAAGGAAAACAAGCCTTAATTATGCTGTATATCCAATTGGAATTCGTGACAGAACAACTAAAAACTTCAAGAATATGTGTCATTAAATAATTTTACAAACGTTTTTCAAACAGTGGTTCTGGGTAAACTGTCTGTCAGTGTTTTAAGTGATTTACTGTGGGTTGCTGATTAATGATTTTTCTGTTTTCTTATTTTTAATGTGTAACTTGTTTCTGTGAGGACAATTTATATGTTGCTGCCTATCTTGCTGCTGTTCTTGGCCAGCACACTCCAGATTTTTAATCTCAGTGACATTTTTCTGGTTAAAGGGGTGGATAATATAGTAAAAATACAATATCTCAAAGATTTTTCTTGATACATGACATGTTATAATATTTAGTTTTTGTGAAGTTTAATCAGTTGAAACACAAAAAAGAAACTAGTTGTGCCACATTTAAAAACATTATAAATAACTATGAATACATTGACTTCTACTCAACATTTAAATTTAAATTTCATTGTAAAAAAAAAAAATAAACCACGCAGTTGGTCAGTGTTCTTTAAGTACTGACAATATCCACCATATGCTAAGAAAAGCATATCACAGCATATTGTGACATCATTTATCATGATAATACATATTGGCAATATTTTATGATGGTGTTTTAGGGCCACTGTTAATAAAAAATAAAAACAGTAGACTTCGAGAATATAGTGTGACTCAGAATATTACGACTTTATTTTTGAAGTCTACTGTTTTTATTTTTATTAACAGTGGCCCTAAAACACCGTCATAATATTTCCCACCTCTACCACACAGCAGACAAAAATAGCTAAAACTATGGGACAAAACTGCAAAACACAAAAGACACTAGATTATTAAATATTTGTCTGAATCTGATGAAACTTGTCTGTTTACACAGAGCTTGACCATCATTTCTCAAACACTCATCATACATTTTAGGCCAGCATGTGAACAATGCATTATTAAATTATCCCATATCTAATTAGAATGTTGGAAGTGAGTAATGAACTCATGAAAGTTAAATTTTAGATAAATGAAAATCTGGCTATTCATTTTTTCCTTTTGCTTATAATCTGTCGACAGCAGTAGGTCACAGTGTTGTTACTAAGTTAGCAATCGTCATCGTTAGTAATGTGGAGTTTTTTCAGTCTCCGGTCAGTTGTGGTTGGATTCAGGTCCGGTCGGGTTGGGTTTGGGCTTTGTTAGCCTGCATTCTGGCTGGAATGAAATTTTAGGCCCGACTTAATCTTTGAAACAGACTCATAAGAAGCTGAGAATATAGATTTATGCTCTGAACAAAGACACATCATTATTAAAGTGCCAATAGGCAGCAGTAGTGTGGAGACAGCCAGGTAAAAATGAATAAGACAAATAAGAGAAAAAAGTCAAATATATGTGTTGAACACAGTGACAGCAATAGTAGCTCTGCCCATTTAAAAATAACAGACTGTGAAGTTAGAGTGAGCAGCGGGAAACACAAGAAGAGGCAGAACAGCAGAGAAGGAATGGTGACAGCAAATCAGAGCTTTGGTGGCACTCAGACTGTTTTAAGATCAATGAGAGGGCGTCACCTTGGGATTTTAAACAGAGCTCTCATTGGATGGAGGTCTGCCAGGGGCGGGTCTCCATCTCCCAGTTCAATGGCGGTGATCCCAAGAGACCAGACGTCACAGCGGGCGTCGTAGGTGGAGTCCAGCTGCTGCTCACACGCTATGACCTTCAACAACACACCACAGTCTCAACCTGGCAATGCCTACACATTGACAACTTGCATTTAAATGTATAGAAACCTAAACTAAGCCAGGACGTTTGAACTTCCATGAATTATAGACAAAGCAAATGAATCAGAACAAGCGAAAGACCTGAACTGCTTATGTTAGTGTTTCTTTGCTTAAACACTACAGTGAGGCACACATTATACATTTACATTTAATCTCATACAGTACTGAGAATATAGACGACTCAGATCACAGATCACAGTACACACATTGTGTTTGTTATACTGGGTGAAATTTCTACCTGATTTTGAATCTACAGTCTACATAATGAGTCCACAGCAAGCCTGTTAAGTAAAAAAGTTTTAAAAAGTAAAAACTAAAAAAGTAGCACAATAAACAGTCCTGAAAGTCTATCACCTCCATATCTGAACCACCTTAGACAGCAAAGCCTGTCCACTGTTACTGCACATTGTGAGAAAAGCGTAAAAGAAGAAGCTGCTGAGCATGTTTACCTGAGGCGAGGACAGTCCGTTAAGCTGTAAGTCTTTGCCTCTGGGTGAGGCTCCTGTTCAGACAGTAAAGCCTGTATGTCCCTCACGTTTAATCCACCGGCTCATGCCAGCAGTCCGAGTGACCATTTTGTTCCTGCTCGGCCATGTGTCGAGATCTAAAGTCAAATCTGGTCGTCTACCCCCCCAGCTGTGATTTCCCCTCCCCTGAGCTTTGATTGATCCCATTTTCCTCCATAAACCATGAATCACAGAGGAGTAATTTTACTGTGATGCAATTCTATGTAAACGTTATGTAAAATCTGAGGGACCACATTTGCAATTCAACCGATACATTTACGGTAAACACGCCCACCAACCACAGGCAACTCCACTCGAACCCGTCTCACTGTGACGTCACTCATTTACGAGGGTTTGGAAAGCTGAACTGCCTTAGAGCTCACCTCAGGAGCCATCCAGAAGGGTGTGCCAACCGACGTATTCCTCCGCAGACGGGTATTGGTCAGCTGGGCGGACACTCCTGAGGAAAGGTGGAAAATAAAGAGCATTAGAGAAAAATTCTGTCCATTTTAAAAACTTTCCAGGGAATTGAATGGTTAAGATGTAAACAAAGTCATTCAGAGTAGTTTGATGTGATTGTTCACAGTGGTCGTGATAGGAACCAGACGTCTGAACAGTTTAATGCCTCTAATAGCTCCCGCACAGAAAGTTAATACATGAATTAGTTATGAATATGTCGTCTGATATCTGAGACATTGTGAAACAATAGTTTTGAGAGGGTTTTGGCCTAAAACATTTTTTAAAATCCATTCATGGCAAAGAGATACATGCAGGGTGCTGGAAGGCAAACAAACTTTTTTTTTTTCAGATTTACCATTATTAACATTACATTTAATTATAAATATTACTCAGAAGACTCAGGTTCACTGGACATTCTGGATAGTAAATTAAATAGCTATTTGTGTTGTAGCCATCCAAACTCCTGGTTTCTACCACCACTGTAAAGAAATCTGAGTCTGTAAGTTTCTCCACAATGAACCATTTCATATGAAGCCACTCCGATTGGCTGTGTGTACATCTCAATGACTGAATTAGGCAGAAATTTAAAGAACTCCCCTTTAAAGAGATACAAGAGGTTTAAAGTGAAAAATCAGCGGTCCTGACATTATTTAACTGTTGAAAATCAATGGGCATGTACTACAGATTGTACAGTATACACACTGGCCACTTTATTTTAAAAACTCCAACCTTGTGCTTCCACTCTCCAGCCACTTTATGAGCTCCCACCTACTTTATAAAGTCACTATATAGATGTACAACATGCTTGTGAGATCATGAACAATAAACCTCTGCTGCTGTGTCGCCATGTTTTAGTTCATGTCATGCCCATATTAGGAACTCCGGGTCTAAGCTGATTTCTCTGTGAGAAAAATGAATGCTGTTACCAAAAATCACCGCATTCACATCATGTTCCACATCTTTTTTCTCTCAGTGTCACTGGATCCTCTGAACTGCGACGTCATTAAGGAGTCAAATTATGACTATTGCTACAGCAAGTTAACACTACTGCATGCTGAACTGACATCATAAGATCTCATAAATCTCACCAAAATACCCCTCATAAACCAATATGCGTTCTCAACTGTGGTAGTTTAGAGTCTTTGGCAGTTTTAGGCTGCAGTTTAAGTAGCTGGTGTTGGTATATAATAGTGTTGAAGTTTACTAGAAGACTAACATTTGTGCAACGTCACTGACAAGCACAGAAGTGGTAGCTTGCTTATGAATAATGCTATCCACATGCTATATGTCGACTGCTAAAAGACTCTGGAATTCAGAGGATCCAGTAACATCTTGGAGAAACGTGTGTAGTGTTTAGTTTGGAACCAGTGGTTTTTGACAAACACATTTTACTCAGAGAAAATCTGCTTTGACGTTCCTGAGTTCCTGGAAAATCTTTCTTAGACATGGGCAAGACGGTGACTGTGGAGCAAAGCACAACTTAAGTCTATATAAGATTGTCTGAATGTGCTGCTTAGTCATCATCAATTGACAAGAGTATTTTGGGGGAAGTGGTCACAGGAGCTGCTTTCCAGGAATAAAAACTCTTCCAAGCTTTTTTTTTTAGCATGCATAAGAGAAATGCACCTCAAAACTGCCCAAGAGGCTTCTGTTACTTTCAGTCTGAGGAGCCTCTCAGTTAATATTGGTGGCACTTCTCCAGTAACCTGCCTCAGCACGGCTGGTTATGCGGTAACACCGCAGCTCAAACCAAAGAAAATAAACATGCTCTCGTTTCTTGCCAGAAATGTGTTAACTTAATAAACATTGCTCTGTGCTGTAAACTTAGGCTGGTACGGTTTGGTAAAAGTGCACTTTTACAGCCTATGAATCAGTAAAAACATGACCAGAGCTTTTACAAACGTCAGGGTCGCTGCTAGGTTGAGAGTGGTCCACCACCCAAAAATATCCAGACAAGAGTGGCTCTGTGGTCAAATAATGACCACTGATAAAGGTCTAGAGGATGACTAACGCAAACTGTACATCAGCAGATGAGCTACAAGAGAGGGGTTTCTAATAAAGTGGCCAGTAAGTGTATATTCAACTAAATTAACAGAGATATTCTGAAAGTTCTGCAGAAGCTTCCCGATGCTGTTCTCACCACACGTTACCCAATAAGAAAAACGCAAGACATAGCCAAACAACCTCACAGACATGTTTTGACAGTCTCCAGGCAAATGATAAATTGTTTTGAATTACAAATGGCCACTTAATCTCCAGCAGCCGAGAAGAACAGTGATGGTGCATTTGAATAGAGAGCAAAGCAGAACAAGCAACCACAGGATAGATTTGTCTGCTCAGAGCCATTAAGACCTCACATACTACTTGTGTGATTGCGAAGATGATGCTACTTCTGACGATGATGATGATGATGTCTTTTGTTCTCCGGCTCACAATAATGAGCCAATTTCTGTAATGGCTCAGGCGCATGTCAGCCTCTGAATCAAAAGGAAACAGAGGGAAAGAAACCTCACGTAAACCGTTTCACAGAGCTTTTAGTCCTCCTAGCAGAGGGAAATACTCAGCATCTTACTGCTGCACGCTCATCTCCCAACAGGTGAGATGAAGTGTGATCTTACGGCATCACAAACAAACAGCAATTAGTTAAGAGAAGGAAAAATTATTTTATCAGTTTCCTTCAGTTACGCTAGCTTCATATGCTATCAGAATGACTGTATGTATGTGTTCCTGACTTAAAAGTTGCTTATAAACGTATCTATAAGTCATCATTACATATGGGAACTGTAGAAACAGCTTATGTCTTAATTCCAGTTTGTTACTGATAATTGTCCCATCATGGCAGAGAAAATCGTTTCGGTGATGGATGGTAATAGGGATGCAAATTTGAAAACTGAGCATCATTAGTCAGCAATTAATCGTTAACTTAAGGGCCTAAAATCAAGGAGGCGATCTATCAAAATATCACTTATAAAATTAACAGTTCGGGATCTGAAATCTCATTTCTCAAATCTGAGCCGTGTTTGAAGGTATTGTAAAATATTTGGGTGACACTTTATTTTGAGTGGTCATTTTTAGATGAAACAAACTCTCAATGGACTAACATGTCAAAAACATATGAGGGTTAGGATTAGGTTTTGGGTTGAGGTTAAGTTTAGGATTAGGATTAAGGCCAGGGTGAGGGTTAGGTTTTGGGTTGAGGTTAAGGTTAGGATTAGGATTAAGGCCAGGGTGAGGGTTAGGTTTTGGGTTGAGGTTAAGGTTAGGATTAGGATTAGGGCCAGGGTGAGGGTTAGGTTTTGGGTTGAGGTTAAGGTTAGGATTAGGATTAGGGCCAGGGTGAGGGTTGGGTGTTGGGTAAGGTTGGTAAGGTTATGTTTTGCGTAATGGAAGTAACATATTAACAACACATCTACTTAATGTAAGTAATGTATCAACAGAACATCTACAAGATATTTACTTCAGTGTGTTCAGGTGCTTCACTACTGATACTTCACTGATATGTTGTTGATGTGTTACTGATAATCTATTAAGAGTTTATTACTCATCTACAAAGGACCACTCCAAATAAAGTGTTACCAATGTTTGATATACATACACTTATGAGCGAGTCAACTGGATTCTGTATTAATGCAGGGAGATATTAAAAAGGGTTCCTGTATGGACCATCGTGCTGATAGACAGGGCCAGGAAATCATTGTGCTATTGGAAGCACATGGCCAAAAACCAAACTGAGGGGCTGACGACTAAAATACTGTCATGATTACAAGACCAAAGACTAAAAATCTGACAAAATGACTAGAACATATAATGATGGGCTGAAAATATAACTAAAAGTTCAAACTGAAAAATATCCCTGCAGATTTCTTTGAAAAGAGTGGACACACTAAATCCTGGAAAATATGAATTTTATACTTAGTTGTTGAGGTCAGTGTAATTTCCAGTGAAGTACGTTTTCTGCTTTTTTCCTGACACTGAAAAAAGAATAACATGTACTTTATGGCCGTTTGACTGGAAATGAAATAAATGAAGGGTTTTCTCAGACTTCTGCAGATATGTATATTGATTTTTATGCACCAATGAAAATAGTCATAATTCATGTTAATAATTTAGGCTTTTCAACAAATGACAGTAAAAATATTATATTTATGTTCTGTAATCAGGGCTCCATCATAAAGACGCTCAGTGTTCTTGGCTTTTATAACGATCTACAGACAGCTTGGCTGTGGCCAGGAATCCCATGTGACTGCGGTTTACTGTTGCACCAAACGCAGTCAGAGAGAAAGGTAACCTGAAGCAGTTTGTACATAACCTAATCCTTGAACAATACTCTGTGTTTTTTCCCTTTAAAAAGGATTCCTTTCACAATCAGTGTTGGCGGTGTTGCTGTAGTTTGAGTTTTCGAGCTGGGAACAGCACAAAAGAGCACGACGCGCTAGCATTCTTCGTTCACAGAGTCCACAAGAGCAGAATATTCCTGTGGATTTCACATCACAGCTGCAGAAGGGCTTAAAACAGACAGAGCAGGAAACTCTACATTCAGTATAGCTGTAAAAGTCAGTGGAGATTTAGAGAATATTACAGTGTGTGAACACTCACTGCTGATTGGACAAAATACACTCCGACTGCGTTTACGTTTTTTTTTTTACTACCATTTTCTAACGGTGCCATTAATGTGACAGTCTGCAAACATATGGAGACACGCATATATGCATACCACCCACACTTCACTTACTCACTACTCCATATAGAGAGAAACAGACAGCTCAACTACTATAAACACTCACAAGACCTACGGACTACATATTCTCGACATAAAGGGAGAAAGTCCAGGGTTATTAATTAAACTTTTTTATTAGTTTTTATTTTTATTTAATCTTTTATTCTGATTTTAATTTAGTATGTTATTAAATGTGCATTAACACTTTAGTTTACACTGTAAAAATTGACTCATTCATTAACAGTAATGTAGCATCAGCAGAGTCGCTGGGTAGTCACTGTAAT